CCCCTCTTCTCCCTCCTTGTGCTTGCAGTAAAGCCTGCCTTCCTCACACCCCCCCAACAGCTAAAAAGTAATGGAGGTGAGGTTGCATGTGGCCACAGGGGACCCAGTCAGAAGGCTGTTTTGAAAGTTTCAAACTTGAACTAAGAGAAGAGGGAAGGCCCCTCCCAGCAGACACCAGGAGAGCTGAGGCTTGAGTACAGTGCGTAGCCTGTTATCCACTAAGTAGAGGAAGTTGGTTCAAGAAACGGAAATTAGTACTCAGAGAGGCACAAACCCTGAACTTTCTACGACTGCAACACCCTAGTTCCAGCTGCCCTCATGCTCTCCACTACTCCAGTAGCCTGGACCCTTCCTAGGAATACATGAACCTGGCAAGAAGTTTTAAGTCAGGTTTCGTAACACACAACCCAGATGCACTGACTCCACATTAAAAAATAATTTCTATACTAAGGCTGACTCAAGGAACATTCAACTGGCATGCTGATTATGGCAGGCATACCAAGGGGTGCTTGCAGAAGGCTATGGCTGTCCTAAAAATTTCAACTTGCTTTGAATGGCTTTCAAAACATCCTACTTTTTCATTGTGTACATTACAGCTCTGTGAATTTCTCTTCACCTCTCTTGTACTTATCTGTGTTTTCAATCTTTAGCCACTTTTAAAGACAACCCATTTCAAATATGTACTGCCTACAGTATGAAGTGGTCATTTGGTACACTTGTTATAATATGAATAAATGCATTATGTACCTCTTCAATGCTCAAAGTGTGAAATACAGATTCACTTTGTCCACTTGGTTCATATTACTATGAGTTTCTGTCTTTACCAAAATTAAGAGAAAAAACCCAGCTCCCAGCTCTTTGTCTGAATTTGTTTTTCTCAAAGTTTGTGTAGCAGTAAACAGTACCATATAGAACTCTTGTGTAATCCCAATCTCCCTGAGTGTTTTAATATTACATTAAATAAGCAGTAAGAGTAAATACTGAAATAAAAGCAGAAATAGAAAAATAAGAACCAATTTAAGAACACTTGAATTCATTTTGTGATATGTATGACACAAAAGAGATGGAAAAGAATATCTCCAAAATTGTTATATGGGTGGCAGGATGATGGACAAATTATTTTATTCCTAATTTTTCTTTTTTGCATTACTAAAATTTCTATACTGGGTAAGTACTAATATTTAATTTTAAAAAAACACTGGGAGAAAATGTGTAAATGAAGAGTTAACCAGTCAAAAACTGAGATTAAAAGGGCAGCAAAAAGTTTACAAATAATGAGGTAAAGGTAGCTGATCACGCCAGTGAGCCTGACCCAGTGTTGCTGAGAGCCGGGTCTCAGAGGGCAGACCTCAGCCAGCCTCCAGCCGAGCTGTTCCAGGGGCAGACAATACAACAGCAAGAGAACACACAGATCTGAATCCCTGAGGTTCCTTTTTTCATCATTCCACTTTAGTAAACAGCCACCCCTAGATAAGAAAGTCACAAAGGAAGCTCGGGACAAAAGTCCAGACATCCTAAATGGCACGCTTTGCTTTTCAGATGTTGTGCTCTGAAGCTGAAGGCTGAAGTGTCCACACTGAGAAGCCCATAGCTACTTGGGAGAACACACTGGACTCTCCCCAGCTCCAGGCAGTATTAGTCGTTCCATACATGTTTATATGAAAATGGTAATGAAATGAATAACCATGATGAAATGTGTATGCAGTCCAAGAGGTACCACTAACTCGGACACTAATAGAAGGAGAGGCCCAGTGGGAAGACTTCCTAGTGGAGGTGACACTTGAGTTGGGTTTAAAGGAGAAGCAGGACTTTGCCGGGCAGATAAAGCAGAGAAAAGCAGGTAGAGTTTAAGGCAGACACAAAATCATGGGCATCGAAGATAGAGAAGGTGGGCTGGAGCAAATGGCTTAGTTTTGTGGAAAATAAAGTTGAACAGATCCTTGAGGTAAGGGAAGAATTTGGATAAAAGTGGAAGGGGAAGAAAAAGCAGAGTAAGCAAAGACACTGCAGGAAGAAACGGAATGCGAGACTTCTATTCTTTCAGTAAATATTGATTGAATATCTACTCAGTCCTGGGCTGGGGTCTAAAAGGTTCACATGTAAGAAAGCTAATGAGTAACTCAAACCACTGACAACAACCCCATGAGACTGGTGCAGTTCTGCCCACTCGCGGTGGCTCACACCTACGATACCAGCGCTTGGGAGGTTGAGGTGAGAGGATTGCCTGAGCCCAAGGGTTTGAGGCCAGCCCGGGCAACTTGGCAAGACTTCATCTCTACAATAAAAATCAAATAATTAGCTGGGTCTGCTGGTGCATGCATGTAGTTCCAGCTACTTGGAAGGCTGAGCAGAAGATCACCTGAACCCAGTAGGTTGAGGCTGAGATGACCGTCAGTGTGCCACTGCACTCCAGCCTGGGTGACAGAGTGAGACTCCAAGACACACACACAAAATTTTTTTAAATTAAAAAATAAAAATAAATAATGAGGAAGCAATCTGTCTAAGGGCACAGACCTAAAAAATAAACAAATCTGGCTTTTAAGTGTGTGTCTTAATAGCCAGGCTTTAAAGAGCATTGATCGATTGTTTTTTAACATGATGAAGCTCAGAGGATGTGGGAGAACTCATGCAGTCCCTATTTTGCTGTTCAAAAAGTTATGAACACTGCTTGCTTTTTTTAAATGAAATTTTTTCTGTCCTGGAGGACAAATATGTGGGAGTCATGAGTTCTACTTATAAATGTCCCGGGTCTTTTGGAACAATTACTAGAAGGACAAAATCAGGCTCTGGAAACAACAGCCTGATTACACCAACTGGCAGCTGAGAAAGTCCATCCACTTCAGAGCGTGCTCAGACAGCAAGTGGAGCGGAGCCAAGGCTATCGGAGAAAGGTCAGTCGGGTCCCACCAAGAAACGATTCATAAAGACAAAGCCAGACTCAGGACATGTGTGGAAAATGTTAAATATGCTCTATGCTGGAAAACTAAAAGAACCCTACGTTGCTAACTGCCAGTAAATGACACTTCTCCCAAAAAGCCAAGCTTAATTATTCCAAGGTTGTCTAAAATCAGCTTGATTAAATCATACATTCTATGAAACAAACAAAAAAAATACAATAAAATAAAATCAACACTTGCATTGGTCAGGTTTTCTATCACTTGTCAAGCAAAGTGCAGCTTGCTTTTTATCTGAATAAGCGCTTCTGAAAAGGCAGCTTCCAGTCCACAGGTATATTTCTAAGCGCAAACATACATATATACATACATACATACATACAGTTTTGACAAAGAACAAAAACCTGCTTAAATTTTTCTTCTGAGATTAACCATGTGCCATTAGATAAAGGAAGAAAAAAGGTTTTATTTGTTTTTAGAGGGTTACTGAAAAGTCAATTAGGTCTATAGTAGTTCTTTTGCCATACACTTTAAGCTTTTACTCCTTTTTGTCTCCCCAAACAAAAGGCATTGCTTTTGGGCTCACAAAAAGCTACAATTATGCCAGTTGGTAGAGGAAAATAAAAACTATAAGACTATAATTAGAAATAGCAACATTAATATAAATTTCTCCATCATAATTTTTCCTTTTAAGTTTGGCTTGGTAACCCTTTAATTAGAACATAGTTGTGATGCATGAATTCATACAATCCTTCCACAGCTATATTTACATTCCATTTGGAAAGACAACTCTGATATAATTATTTGTGATCAATTTTCATAATGCCTCATACAAAAGGCTGTTATTGTATTTGAACTACCTAACGTAGGCAGGCCTGGGATTCTTACCTCCCCAAAAGCAGCCCATCCTCTGCCTCCAAGAAACTGCTCTCTGTGGACAAGTAATCAGAAATACAACCTTTCCTAAAATACTTTTTAACATGTGGATTCGTGAAATAAAGGGAGACAGCTTTACCACAAAACTTGTCTATGACTGGAAATTCAATCTGAAGTCTGGTTTGATCTTAGGACTTTTTAATCAGAGGGCTGATTAAGGAACATTTTAGTCAGCCTAAGTGGACCAAAATTAGTTCTTTTGTTTTTTTAAGCTGTTCTGAGATTCTGCTCTTCCACCACAACACACACATTAGGACTCCCCAGTGTTTTAACATCGCCTTGGAGATGAACCCTGTTAATGGTTCAGCCCCAATGGCAATCAATGCCGTCTTCATCCTTCCACACTCAGGGAATCAGCCGATCTCTCACATCCAGCTCTACCCCAGTTTAGTAGAAGGGACAAGCAGACAAAACGGATTTGAGAAAAATATGACTCAAATATTTACTTTTAGGGCAGCAAAGAGGGATGGAAACTTTTACTATTTTCCAAAAAGTAGAGTTGTTCATGGCCTCCTATAGTAACTAATAGGCTAGTATTCCCAGCTCATTTTAGAGAAACACTTAAGACTGTCCCAAACTGAAGTAAACGCTCACCTTGCTGAAATGAGAAGCAGTTCTGTCTCCACTTGCCTATGAAAATCAAGGTCCCAAGTCTGAACACCTCACAAGTATCCCTTCCAAGCTCCAAATTTGTTTATCTGGGCTATTCAGCTTCTCCAAGCAAATGAGAAGTAAATCGAACTTTAAATATATCCTTCGAGACAGAACATAGTGGTGAGGTTGTCAACTCAATAAATACCATAAATTAAATGTTGGAAAAAAGTATCATCACAAGGCGAGGTGGCCTTACACTTGTCTCGTGGATAAAGTCCTTTAAAGTGCTACTGGCCTGTTGGTTACTGTGCTCACTTTCCAGTATACAAAGTTCTTCAGATCCTCGAAGTCTTTTTAAAACCAAGTACAGACTGCCTCCACCAAGTACTTCTGAAAAATCTTTAATAACTTTCATTTTCTTTATGAAGGGGCCCCCTTCACCGTAGCTGTGGTGCTCCCTCAGCAGAGTATATGGCCTCCTACTCTTGAACGCACAACTAAGCAGGCTGATTTCCCATCTGCTGGAAGAAAACAACAAATACATCTGTGAACATGGGCCCCATACCCTGCACTTACATGCACTCCCCTGAATTCTGGACCACCACCAAGAGAGCTCAACCCCTTGGTCCTCGCTGCAGTGGTTCCAGGGTCTCCAGACGCGCGGCATCAGCATCTCCTGGGAACTTGTTAGAAACGCACATTCTTGGGCCCTGGCCCACGAACCACGGAATCAGAACCTCGAGTATAGGCGATAGGGCTCTTGAGAATCACGGCTGCACTACAGTAGTTATGAAACTGTGCTGGTAGCCTCAGAGCCTGCAGGTGGCGCTAAAGGCCAGCTGGAAGAATTATAGGCAGGCGGTAGCTCCGGTTTCAGCTGTTAGAAAACCTGCCTTCCTGACCACACAGCTCCTTCTATCAGTTCCCAACAGCTGCTCAGCCTCCCCAGTCCGTCTCAGCTTTGAACAGAAACTGGACTGAAATTCTTCTCACAACCCAGGAGTAGATATGTCAAAACCTACTATATCTAAGTATTTGGGAAGTTTTGTGTTTAATACAATGAGGACACAAACACATTTTAAGAATGATGTCAATACTGATTATAGAGAACAACAAGACACTCAAGGTATTATCAACTATTGTGTGTATATGTGGAGAATAATATTGTACTTTATTCTGAAAGAATACTTAGTTCCTTCCCTGAAAAACCTAATTGTACTGATGTGACAAAAGTGAAAAAAGCGTGTATGCAGGTGGCCCTCTGCTAAACTCTGCTAAAATCCTGAATTTCCCATTAGCTGTTTTACCATCCGAACACTTTCACTGAGCATGTGTAGGGACAGGATTCTGATTCAGTGGGTCCTGAGCTGAGGCCCTAGAATGTCATTTCTAACAAGTTCCCAGGAGATGCTGATGCTGCAGGTCGGGAGACCCTGGAACCGCTGCAGTGAAGACCAAGGGGTTTAGCTCTCTTGGTGGTGGTCCAGAATTCAGGGGAGTGCATGTAAGTGCAGTATATGATAAGTCTCATGCACTGCTTGTGGGAGAATTAATCAGTACAACCACTTTGGAAAACCACCTAGCAATGTCAACAAATGCTAAACAAACAGGCACCCAGGACCAGCCATTCCACTTGCAGGTGTATACCCTAGAGAAACAAGTGCCCATGACTACCAAAAGCCATGTAAAAGAATGTTCTTAGAAGTATAACTCATAATAGTTGCAAACTGGAAACAATCCAAATGTCCATACACAGTAGAGATTATTGCCGAGATTCATACGGTGAAACAGAAGCAGCAATGGAAAAACAAAACAAACAGCAAACCAAACCACTGCTACACACAACATGGATGAATGCCACAGACTTCATGAAGAATAATACTTCAGACTGAAAGAAGCCAGGCACAAAGGGGTACACTCTTGTCCAAACAGGCAAAACTAACCTCTGGTGACAGAGGTCAGCTTAGAGGTTACTCGGAATATCTAGGGGGAGGCATGAGGAACTGCTGGAAAAGGTCTGTATCTTGACCTGGGAGATGGTTACCAGGGAGTGTATACTCGCTGAACTTTAAGAATGAAGATGTCAGTACGGATTAAACGAACAACAAATAAGACCCTCGAGCTACCACCAGTTACTGTGTATCTATGAATAATAATATACTTGATTCTGAAAGAATGCTTAGGGCCTACCCGGAAAATCTAATTGTATTGACCTGACATAAATGAGAAAAGCACGTATGCAGGCAGGTAGTTCCGCGAATTGCACACTTAAAATGTGCACACTTAACTATGTTGGTATCAGAGCGCATTTCCTGCAAACATGCTCTGCATTTGCTGAGCTGTATCTCAAAATTAAACAGAGCCAACAGGGGATTTTCGTTCTAGGGTTACGGTAAACTTATCCATGAAACAGACAAACGTTTCCGGCTGGCACTCCCTAGCCCCAGTTCCTTTTATTCTGCCACTTATGGGTCCTTCCTGGGTGGCCCTGGCTGTCCACTGTCCCAAGCCCCCGCGTGCCCGGGATGGCTGGTCGCCATCCACGGGGATGCAGAAAGGCCTGGCTCCGGCACTCGTGCGGTCAGTATCCTCCCCAGTCGCCTCGCATGGCCCTTGGCCTCACGGCGACCACCACCCACCTCCCCTCCAGCCTCGCCGCCCCGGGCCCGTCCCCGCACAGGGCCCGTGTTAAGACAGCGAGCGCACCGTCTCTAGGGCCACCCCGAGGCTGCCGGATCCCGGGTT